AAACCCCTCTGAGAGAAACTTCGATATACTCGCAGTCACACATACTGAAAAACAGACGACTGCTTTTCCCTTTTCCTTTGGTGCTGGTTGAAATCTCTGCCAGATTCTTAGTTCTTTTTCGGATGAACATCTATTTTTGTCAAGCCTTTTTAAAGCAACATTTTATTCTCAAAACCTTCTTTTCCAACTGAAATATTTTGAAGCTCGGAATTTTCACACTCAAACCCCTGATTCGGACTCCACGATCTAGATTCATTCTCGCCAAGCTGCTGAGCATATAATTACTTCATCACAAAGGTATTTTCTTGCCTAGTGAAGCTCTCCGACGTCCTATTTCTCGAAAACCCATACTGGAGCACACCTGATTGACTGAGCTCAGTCATCGCGAAATCCTATTGGCCGATTGCCCACACTCAAAATCACCGGATTAGATGGCCTACGCCAGCGAGAAATCCTATTGGTCGAAAAACCACACCCTAAAACATCTGATTGGCTGAGTGGAGCCACCGAGAAATCCTATTGACCGGAAGCTCATACTCGAAAACACCGTATTGGCTAACCACAGGCATCAAGAAATCCTATTGACTGGATGCCCACACTCAACAACACCTGATTGGCTGATCTAAGCCACCGAGAAATCTTATTAGCTGGAAGCCCACACTCAGAAAGCTCTGATTGAGTGAGGTCAGCCACTGAAAAACGGGAAAATAAGCTCACGTTTCAGGGATGTTTTTATGACCTACCACAAACAGACGCAAAGACACACAGACACACAAACGCATTTTTCTTCGTATGACCCTCCCTTCAGTCGAGGGAATAAGGAATTAAATGGCAATGAAAATTGATAAACAGTGCTCGGAAAGATTAATTAGTACTGATAATTATACAATTAAGTACTCAGACACAGCTAAAATGAAGAATGTGTTTAACTATAATTCAATTTAATAAGCATTCATACATCACGAGTGCCTGAGCGTAGCATTTATGTTTTTTTATTTTTGACTGAGACCCATCGGATTTGCAAAAGTAAGTATTTATTGCGGCACAAGTATTATTTCATGGTAACTAGGGGTGTTACTTTATATTTACTTTACTTTTTAAAGATAAATAAAACCTTTATATTTAAAAACTAAAGATAAATGAAATCTTTATATTTATAAAATAAAGATATATAAAATCTTTATATTTATGAAGTAAAGATAACGTTAATCTTTATCTTTATAAAATACAGATAAAAAAAGTAGGTTTATCTTTATTTAATAACGATAAAATAAAGAATAAAGAAAAATATTTTTCCTTAAAAATCCAAAATTTGGTCTTCTCCAGATACCTCGAAGAAAGTTAAGAAGCTCAAGGCTAAAAAATTTTGAACACTAGATTTTTTTTCCATAAATGATTTATGCCTCACCATCATTTGCTAGTATTATTTCATACTGCAATGTCAGTGATGATAAGCAAGAACTGCAATCAATATTTTCTGTTGTTATACAAATTATTCATCTATTTATCAATGACTGAAGAAAATCTTTCTTTACTCTTTATTTTAACTTTATTTTTACAAATAAAGATTATCTTTATCTTTATTTTATAAATATAAATGTTTTATTTATTTTTATTCTTTAATATAAAGATCAATAACGAAAAAGTAACACCCCTAATGGCAACTGAAGTACAAAAAGCTTACCTATAGACTTTTTATCGGATGATTCAGCAGTCAGATGCATCTCGTTCAAATTCGGTACAATAGTTTGTTCACTTTTGTTATCTATTTCAATTAGATGTACGACATGTGAGCCATTTGATTGATCCAAAGAATCGCTTTTTACATGAAATTGCGAGCCCATTCGTAAAATAATTTCATTTTCATTTTCATACTGCGTATATCCAGAAATTTTTTTTCCGTTAACAGCTTCAACCAGAAATAATGTTGTATTTGAAGCGTTTCCAAGAAAATTTTTAATAACGCTAACTGATGAAGAACATGAACTAACACTCCACCACGTGACAATTTGGTTTTTGGTAAAATTTTTACCAATATCAAGAGGTACGCCTCTCCATACTACCTCTTTAACAGTAGGCAATTTATCCAACGCTATATCAAATAATTTTAAATATGGAAACCATATCTTTAATGCCTGACGGTTTTCAGATCGTAATGCGGAATTTAAAACAACATACAATGTAGTCCCGCCCCATTCCATTGTATATATATAAATAGCAGCCGACTCATCATGTGTTAATCCATGTTCTGATGGAAAATGGCAATATTGTTTAGCTAGCTTTATGTAATTGGATAGTTGATTAATTTGAGGTTCGATAGGTGCCAGTGCTGTTTCTATTGGAACGACTGCTTCACTGCGGTAACCATAGATAGGTGAAAGTCTCTTAAATGAAACATCAATATCACCAAAACGATTCAACATAACCTTGTTTTAAACGTTGTTAAAAGTTGATGAAACGACAACTTGCAGGAACTAGAAACAATGGATATAATTACTTCTAATCTATTTTTCTATAAGAAACAGTAAAATCTAGTATATCCACTTGAATTACCGAAATTGCATATGAATGCAACTGTTTTTTACACCTACATCCCATTCACGTCTATACTTGCGCCTTATGTAAAAGAGTATGTATAAGTAAAGAACGATGGAAAAGATGATGAGCGGAATTGTGCTTTCAAAGTAGAGACACCTGTAGAGGACGAAATATATAAGTTCACCGCAATAATAAACTGGTTAAGTGAAATTTTTGAATTCTGGTTGCAATCAATTCTATCATTGCTATATTTTGGGGTGGGTGTGGGTGTGGGTAAGAGCAAGAGTGAAACCCACCCACACTCACACTTTCCTCAAATAATAAAAATTTAAAAAAAGAATTTAAAATTCTATTTAAAAGACTTTTTCTTTTTTTCCTGCTCAAACTACAATTATTCTATTTAATAATATCATGTCTATTTAAATTTGAAACATTTCTTGTTGACTTGCACAATTATAAAAGAATTGGATAAAGTTAGTGTTGTAAAACGAACGAGATAAGCCACAGCTTTTGCAAATGCACAGTCTTGTTCGTATTGAGGTAGTTCGAATCTGAATTTATGACTATATACTGTAAGTTTACTTAATTGTGGCATATAGAGTAGTGAAATCCGAAACTGTCAACTAGCTTATCGAGACAAAGTGAACATGTTTCGAACATCATGACACACACATAAACCCAAATCCAACATTTCCAAACACTAAATGACTCACCTAGTAACTCATGCACACCGACTGTTGGAGACGTTTTCCCTTTATTGTGTTGGAAAGCAATAATTCTCCGCACAAAAATTTCTTTTCTTATTCCTTTCTTCTTTTACGCACACAGATTTTTCATTTTTCTGTTCCTGCCTCGTCTCCGCACGATTTTATCGTTTAAGGAACGAAGAACAAAAGAAGCAATTTATCGTGAGAGAATGAGGGTGACGGTGTGAGTTTGTGTTACAGGCTCCTCTTTGTAACGCGAATCAGGATAAGAAAAAGGGTGTGAGTGTGGCTATGGGTGGTGTGGGTGTGTGGGTATAAGTCTTCTTTTTACCAAAACCCACACCCACACCCACACCCACCCTCCGTGTTTCGTTGCTGGAAATGTACATTTTGGATTGAATTCCTCTGTTGGTGTTCGCCATACCATAATATTCCCGTCAGATTCGAGAAGATTGAATTTTGATTCGTCTAACCATAAAACTTGTTTCCAGAATACCATGGGCTCATCCCGATGCATTTTGACATAATTCAAACGTTTAAGTCGGTTTACCTTATTCGCGTACGGTTTTTTTCAAGCAACACGCCCGTATAATTCGATTTCATGAGCGCGACGACGAATTGTGTCATTTGATATTATTATCCCTAACTCCTATTCAATCTCATGTTTGATAGGCGATGCCGATTTTCGTCGATTCGCTTTAATTTTTCGTTGAATGGCTTTGTCAGCTCGTTCTGTAGTTTTTCTTTTACCACTAGGGGTGTCAATTTACAGTTTATTTAATTTAAATTTAACTTCGTGAAAAGTTAATTTAATTTTAAATTAAATTCTATCAAGTTAAATTTAAGATAAATTTAAATTTTTCTGATACAAAAATTTAAATTTAAATAAAATTTAAATTTTCAGAATTTAAATTTAATTTAAATTAAATTTTTGAAAATTTNACAATAGTGTACATAGAGTAACTGGACTGAAATAATAGAGATATTCATGAATTGACGACGACTGTTGTATTCTTTTCTCCAGTGGTTGATTAATTTTGCAGCGATGAAAAGTGATAGGAAGATAGACCTTTTTTAATAAAAACTGAACATATTAAAATTTTGACTTGAAATTTTGTGTATGAATACGAGATATCATGGGGTACAATATGGTGAAACCCAGACCATTATAACTCATTTAGCTTTTGAAATATCAAAAAAACAAAAAAAATCAATAAGGTGGTTGATCAATTTTGCGACCCACTGTATGTTCGGATTATCAATTTCACCGTAGGTACAGAAACTATGCAACTAATGTATGATCTCAAGACATGAATCTCTTCAATGAGACGCTTGGACAGATTTCTATGAATTCGCCATTCTTCAGAGGAATGCATAAAAACATCCAGCTCTTATTCGATTCTAGAGTTTTCGAACTTGAAAACGTGTAATGAAGTTTATGATTCAGTAGAAAACATTTTTGTCTCTATGAATTTCAAATAACTTTAAAGCAGTCCTGGTATAATTCATCACTGCAAGAACTTATTAAAGTATCTTAGTTAAAGCAAAACGAGTGACAGCTACCTTTTAAGTTATTCTCAATTTCATTACCTTGAAGTTCTCAAAAATGTCTTTTTTTTATGAAAAATATAACCCATGAATTGCAATTCTCAATAATATATGAATTTTAATTTTAGCGAATAAAACATCATACGACAAAACGATTTAACATGTGTATCGTATTCGGAATCAGTGCATTGCAACAAATAGCTTCGTACTTGAAATACACTATTGACCTTGCCAATACTTAATGTAAGTTGTTCAAATTCTCTTCTTTCAAAAAAATACTAATAAAACGAATGAATCAATTATATTGTCTTCGTATTATTAATAGAGAGCAAAACTTATTAGAATCCTTCCAAATCTATTTTAGAGATATGAATATCCATTGAAATAAGAAGAATTCCTATATTTATTAACTTCCTACATTGATATTTATTCTATCGAGGCAAAAAAATAGATGTATTTAAATTTTACAAGAAAAATAAGAGATTTATATTTAATTATACATATATCTAATCTATTGATCTTCAGTAACATAATTTGGATGAACAATAAGATAAAGATTATTTCCATCGGGATCTTCACTATCTTCTTCTTCACCTGCCGTAGCAGTTTTACCATCGGTTGCAGCACCAAATTGACTAACAGTACGTTTATCAAGTTGAATAAGAATTTCATCGACATGTACAAGACGATCAATAATTTTATCGAGTGTTGCTTTCTTTCGTGCTAATTCATCAAGACTATTTATTTCATCGGCTAATTGCTCAAGTACCCAATTGACAAGCTCACGCCGTTTAACACCAGGCATAACAACAGTTGATTGACTATCACTTTCTTGTTCTTCATCTAATTTACGTAATTGATAAACCATTATATTTGTTAAACGTTTATATTCATCAACAGATATTTTCGTTTCGTCCTTGTTTGTGTCTTCTTGTTGTTCTTCTTCCATAGGTTCGTCTGTTGCAGTTGCTGTTGGTCGATTATATTCATTAAGATCAATATCTGGTTGATCGACATGTATAATAGCTTTACTTAAAAGTCGATAAGCTTCTTGAACATGTTTAATATCAATTTCTTCTTGACAATACATTTTAGCTACAGCTTCCGATAGACGAATTAAACTTTCCAATTGACGAACAGTGATCGGTGTTGACGACGATGATACACGGCCAGTACTTGATGATGATGTTTCACGTAAACGTAATTGTTTATAGAGTCCTATAATATGTTCTTTCGCAGCTGACGTTAATTTTGGTTGAACAGCTGCTTTAACATAGGTAATATAATCTCGAATATCATTAAATGTGTATGGAGTAACGAGTGACGGATTTGATACACGAGTTCCCGATGTATGTAAATCAATAATACGTTCAGCAATATTGTAATCAGTGACATCGTTACATTCATCAATAACAATAAAGAATAAATCAAAACGAGACCTAAATTATAAAAAAAACATGCTCCATTATACAATGCTTTCGTAGTTCTCGATAAAACTTACATAATAGGTGCACTCATATTAACATTATGTCTCAATGATCGTGATTTATCATAACGTCCAGCAATTGGATTAGCTGCAGCTAAGATCGATGTTCGTGCATTGAGTGTGGCTTTTATGCCTGCTTTTGTAATACTAATTGTCTGTTGTTCCATAGCTTCGTGAATAGCTACTTGATCTTTTGGATCCATTTTATCGAATTCATCAATACAACAAACACCCTAAATTAAATAATCACGTTTAAGAAAAAACAAATATTCGATTTTTTACATTATCAGCAAGCATGAGTGCACCAGCTTCAATAACAAATTCACTTGATTCTTCATCTTTAACTACAGCTGCAGTTAAACCAGCAGCTGTCGAAGCTTTACCACTTGTATAAACAGCCCGTGGTGAAAATTCTGCAACTTGTCTGAACAAGAAAAATTCATAATTGAATCAATAAAAATATTTTTCCCTACTTTAAAAATTGTGATTTAGCTGTCGATGGATCGCCGACAATACAAATATTAATATCACCACGTAAACTTGTTTTTTCCATTGTTCGTTTTGGTACACCACCAAATAACATCAATAAAATTCCAGATTTAATTTCATCATTGCCATAAATAGTCGGGAAAAGACTTGTACGTAAATTAGCAAAAAGATTTTTATCTGACATCATCGATTCGATACGTTTCTTTTTCGAATCCGAACTTAATAATGTTGCAACCGTTGTTTGTTCAGCTGGTGTTATATGACAGGCAAGAAATGCTAGATGATATGTTAGATCACGTACACCAAGTGCTTTTAAGCCGCGTACACCTTCAGCACTATAGCCTTTATCGTCACCACCTTGTGTACGTTGTGCACTTTCAGAACGAACACCAGGCATTGATAATTGACTAACATCGGGTAAGACAATTAATGTTCCAATGAAATCACAACGATCACCTGGTTTGGCTTGTTCAACACATTCATTACGCATAATTATGTCAAGACAACGTGGAATATTGCCATGCGGTAATTCCGATTGACTTTCTTGAATGCGCACTTTTTGAAAATCAACAAATCGTGAACGTGTTAAATCTAATGCAAAATGGCTACGATTATTACAAACAGGATTTCGACACATTAATGGTTGTGTAAAACGAAATTGTTGTTCAACATCAGGACAAACCATTTGACAATCCGAACAAATAAATGTTGCCGAAACTAATTCAGGATGAACAGGATACGTTCGAATAACTTGTCCGGTTATACGAATCAACATGCCCATTTTTGATGTGTTCAAATTTCGAAGCCTAAAATAAAAGGTATTTTGTTCCTATGCTCGGATATCTTTCGACAACACATACTTATAACGCATTTGAACATCGCTGAATGCTACATAGAGTTCTTTATCATTTAGAACCGTTCGTTTGAATCGTTCAAGTTTTTCAGCTTCAATATCAATTTTTGGTATATGTTCACGAAAGAATTGTTTAAGACCACGTGATAAAGATGGTAAAAGTCTATTAGGAAAAGTTATTTTCAAAAAAATTTTTTTAATTATTTTCCTTACCGATAGTATTCATCTTGAATAACTCGTGATAAACGATCATTAAAATTTGATAGATGTCGATAATTAATTAATACAGTTGAACGTTGTGGTTGACTTAATTCATCGACCATTGTTTTTTTTTCGTTTTCATCGAAGCTAAATTGAAAAATACAATTTCTCGGTTTTAATTCAATTTACTAATTTACCTTTCGAGGTATTCAAAAAATAGTCGTTGACATTGATCGGCGAGAACATCACGTACACGTGGATGTTGTGGTACCTGTTGGGCAATATCCATTTGAATTCAAATAATCTGAAATAGAGGAATTTCTACGAATACATATTTTTTACAGTAGAAATACAAAATAAAGATAGTATTTTTGGTGTACAGGTTTGTTGTGCTCTACTTTTCTATTACGACTTCTGTTTGTGTGGACATTGTTCAGAAGAGAATAAATGACGATATTGTCTACTTACGCGCTCACAGTGAGCAGCTAAATGACCAATGACAGTGGACGATACGTATCTATCTATATAATGGAAAATTATAGAATGCATCGATAGATGTCGTTCTCGTGTGTACACGATTTTTACAATTATAAACAAGCAGAACAAGATAATCCATAAGAATTTGTATAACAAAAAAATTCACTAACGACTTTTCCAACCTTAATGTCGTCTGTAGTTGATGAATTACAAGAAGGCTTTTTTTTATGAACTGTGTGAGGTGATTGCCATTCTAATTCATCTGAGTCTCTACTAAGAATTCACATACAGCAACAGTCGATGTTGAGCTTAGAACTTTTAGGTGAATAGAATGTTTGATCAAGTCAATGCGCACTTTTATCTCAGTGGTTTTTAATACTTTCAGAACTCAGCTTGTAAGCATATTTTTTCCATCGGTTTTTGTTCTCAAAATCCCCATATTCTGCAAAAGCTTCATTCTTTTTTTTGTCTTGTTTTTACAATAGTCTTGAAAGGAGGCGAGCATAGAAATAAACGATAGTACTGAATGACAGTGTTTTATTTTCAGTGTGATATCCTATCATACAAGCGCAAAATAAATGATCTTATTGGATTATAGCGATTGTCTCCTGCATGACACAGCGATGGAAATGAAACAGGTGCGATTAAAATGAAATTGAAAACCATTTAATAGTAAAAATAATCGTTCTATCATTGAATCAATATAAATAGGTCCATCTATCTTTCGTATAGAACACGTCAACTCATTTTAGCATGCATTATCTACCAGCAATTTCTATCGCGTTTCTCGGCTCTCTTTTCTTGATTGTTGAATGTAATGCGATAAGCATATCTGACGGTAATTTAAAAGTCTATTTCATTGAACATCAACGATTTATCTGTCTATAATTTAGAAACCAATCATGGAAATCTTGATTGCTCAAAATTTACACGAGATCTGGATGTACTTCGGTCTTTTTCATATGCGGTTCAATTAAATCCACTTATTACAACTGGCAAGACCTACGCCATTATGAATGCTGCTAGTAAAGTTGAAGAACTTAGTATTCACCATCAAATTAATTTACCACTTGATGTTTTCTGCCTCGTTAATTTACATACATTAAGAGTCAATAGCACTCCATTTGTTCCACAATATGAATTAGATGATGATAGCATATCCATTGGTCTATCTCCCTTAGTTAGTCGTCTCACTCGTTTACGTGTTCTGTCACTCATCAACACAACAGCATCTTATATTCCTCCTCAAGCATTAGCTGTATTAACAAATATGACTGTACTCGAAATCGAAAGTTGTGGCCTATATGAAATACCATCTACAATTTCATTGCTGACAAAACTTCAGGAGCTTCGATTGCCGAAGAATCATTTGCGTTCAGCACCACATAGCACTGGTAATTTTAGTATATTACCAATCAAAATGGATATTTTCCACAGAGAAGTGATCGAGGGGATAGTTTGACATAAAAAGAGTTTATCAAAACGTCAATCTTCTTGAAGCGTTTTTGTATTTTCGCCTCGAACATAGTAATGCTAGATATAAGCAAACTCACTTTTTTCTCTTATAGCATTCAAGCAAATGTCTAAACTTACGCATCTCGATTTATCACACAACTACATTACAGATATTGCTGATATAGGCGACATACCATCAAGAGTAGTTGCCACTATGGATTTTTCCTACAATCAAATTGAACACATACCACCAGAAATTGGCAAGTTCCATTATGAACTTTATTATCTTTATCTCAATGACAACAAACTTGCTTATATACCGACTGATATTTTCCTTTTGAAATATCTGAGAAGAGTTGATTTGCAAAGAAATCCATTTCCTGCGGATGAAATAAAGGCAATCAAAACGAAATTTCAATCCACTATTTCCAATGGTCTCCTAACGATTTAGATGTAATAAGATTTATTTCAATCACAATTTTTTGTGAAAGATTTTATTTATTATTCTAACAGAAGTACCTAATTATTCCGCAAAAAAAAAGAATTTCTTTTAAATGTTATTTTCTTCACAACTGATGAATAGGAGATCATCTCTTAGAGAAAGGTGTATACATTGTGGATGTCAAGAATGAAACTTATTCGGCAAGTGGCTCTCTAACGGCAAAACATTAGCTAAAATATATACAGCACCAGTACCAATATTGCATAGAGAGACAGAAGCATTCTTTGAATGGCAGAAAATGATTTAATATCTCGATATTGTCAATCGTATGAATTATTTAATCATATATAATTCTTGGCAAACCATTGGAAATCAAGATCAATTCTACTGGATGCGCCATTTGATTGATTTCTGGTTTGAGATGCTTGCAGTAATAATATTTTTTTTTAATGACTAGACAGTTGGTATAATTGTCTTGCGAAAAGCATGCAAAATATTTTCAAATAATATGATTTTTTACTTCTTTTTCGTGTTGTTTTGATCGTTAGTGCTGTTGTCGATGATGGCCGTCGCTTATCGGTGAGAGTGTGGGTGTACCCATGTAGATTCCACAACCTATACAATTAGTTTCTAATGAAAAGACAAATTCAAACTGCTAATCTCAATTGATGTTTCTCACCGATCGACTCTTTCAAATTCAATGCTTGTATGTGTGCTCATCTGAATTAACTAGTAACATGCATGCATAAGATATACTTCTGAAAGAAAAAGTATTGGCCATCGATCTACGAGTAAGAAACAGATATCGTTGAAAAGATGATATTTCTATTAAAAAGAGTCATTCAACAGTGTTAAACTTCAAAATACAAAAACAAAATTTGTGCTTTTATGATTGATGATGCTTCATTTGGTGTTTGGTACTTTTCGAATTCGAACATGTTTTTCAATGCTTCTAAAAGATGAAAGTACGAAATTCCAGTCATAAATAAATTTTTACTTTCTCACTTTCTTATATTAAAGTGAACAACGTAGGTACCTCTAATTTTTCCTCATTATTATATTTCTTTACAAATAAATATAGATATATACTCCTTGTAATATAGTGTATACTTTTACGAAGCAGACCATAGAAAAATAGTCGGCTTATAGCTAAACTTCTGATGGCGACATCTGGTTCTTATGTTCGCATCAGAAAAAAACCTGATAGAAATTGTATACATTAAGTATTATGCAAAACTTCTTCTTTCAGATTTTTCTGCCATAAGTTTCACGCACTCTTTATAGTTTGTCAAAAGAATTGATCAGTTCTAATTTGCAATGTAGTGAATAAGAAACTCCATGCATATGTCGTTTGTGAAGTCCGCTATTCTGTTTCGCCGAGTAAAGAATGAAAAAAAGAAACTATTAATAAATCAATTTTGCCACAAACGTTGTATGCCACAAAAAACTAGAAAAGAGCTGGAACCATTGGTAAACATCCAACGAATCGTAAAATCGTGTGTACTTTAATACTGGTGAGTCAGAAACATGACTCAAGGTATCGAAATACTTGAGCAAGATTGCATTCGTATATAATACAGTGATTAGAATCTACACAACTCCAAAAAAAAATTGAAAAGGGTAAGTAAGAATTCATGTGGATTCGTAACTGTTGGCTTGTATAATACTGCAACCATTCGAATTTCATTTGAGCTCCTCTGCAGCTGAGAGGATTTGCTAAAATCCGTGCGTTAGAAACTCTGGAAATTCAAGAAAATCAATACATCCCCACGCTCGCAGCCAATAAAGATAAATTCGAGGCTGATCAAAAATATTATCGACAAATGAACAATCCAATCTATCACCAATGGCAACAATGGGAAAGTCAAGTACTCGAATGGTTAAATCAATCCGACGAGGATTTAACTGTACCGGACACTGATCCATTCGACCGAGTGATTTTGACGCTTTTAACCGTCAAATACCAAATCGTATACAAAGACATGGACAAAGAAACCGCAATGGCTAAAGAAGAAAACCAGGACGAACGAAAAGCGACTGTGAAACTGTCCAAAATCAAGACACCATATGCGATAACGGGAAAAGAAGATCATCAAGACAAGGAAAAGTTGTTTGACGATTTCACGGATCGTTTGTTAAGTCCAGAACAAGTCAGCAATGAAAATTCAATTGAATGGCAAGGCTTAGAATTTGTGAAGCGATCTGAAAGATGTCTAGCCCATTTCGTCTCTCAGTTGATTTCCACAAATACTGCATATCAAGAATTTATTCGCGAGCCCTCGATGATCGCACCCGTAACTAAAATTAATAATAAGGTATACACAAAAAAGAACGACCGTCAAATGTTTCTCAGCATTGATATGAAATCCGCAAACTTTGCCTCGCTTCAGCAGATGAATGTCATTGATGCTCATATATATCCAACTTGGGATGCTTTTTTATCCCCTTTCGTAGGATCAAGATCTCTGCTTTTACAAAACAAACACTTAAGAATGATGTGCTTAGGAAAATTGCCCGCATATAACAAACTGGAAGCGTTTTGGACGCATTTCACAGGAACAATCTACCAAACGGTTCTCTGCCCGTATTTGGATGAATTGGGTGTAGATGTGAATTGTGTGGCTTTAGTGAGTGATGAAGTAGTATTTCATCTGGACGCTTCGATCGAAGAAGATAAAGCAAGAGAGCTAATGGAGAACTTGCAAATACGCCTTGCAAACGAAAGCCCGATCATCAAATTTCACGTGCAAGCATACCGTTTACGAGCATTTCACTGGCAAGACAAACATATGTGTTTCGCACGATTGTTTATTGGCCAAGATGAACCACAGTTTGATTTAAAATGTGTACCTGACAGAAGAAAAAATTACAATCAAGCGTATGCAGATTTTCGAACGTTTTCTGGTTTGTAAAGTGAATTATGTTTCATCATTGACATTGAACAAGGTGGGTGTGGGTGTGGGTGAAGGAAAGTTCCGCATTCACACCCACGCCCACTAACCATTGACTTGCATTCCGTTCGAAGGTTATTATTATTCTTCAGTTTTCACTGATTAACTTATAATTATTAACAAAAAAAAATCAAAATTATACTTAAAAATCTGTTGGGATCAGTGATAGAATCGGTTCGTGCTTTTTTCAAACCGAACCGATTAAAGGATAAAAAAAAGTTTGTCGATTTCTGCTGTTTTTCAAAGATATTCACTTGTAACAATTTATTGAAGACCTGATTATAACACTTTCGATAGTTCTAAGAGTGGCTTAGAAAGCTGAGCTGCAGATAATTTTAAAAGCATAAATATTTTTCAATCAGAAATGACTGCAGTGCATTTTTAGTGGATGCCCATCTTTTGTTAACCAAGGACGAATCACTACATTTTTGTTCGTCGTTCAGTGTAAAGACTAGAATTTGTTTCAACTAGTAGGTTATTACTCATTGAAGGACGCTGTGTGAAAATTTCATATAAACTAGGTGTTGAGAAATAATTGATATGTTACGCTTTTCAGCCTTTGCTCTGTACTTTTCTAGTTCATCATTTCGGATTGACGAAGTACTTGAAAATAGTAACCTAATAATGATGGGTGACGCATCTATTGAAAAAGGAAAAAGTTGCCCTTCAAAGTATAACGATTTTGCCAAAATATAAAATTTGGTGTCGTTTTTTACAGTTTGAGAAGTAATAACCACAATTTAGATACTTCTTTCTAACTTTCTTGGTATATGTTACGATTATTTTTAAGTTCAAAACAGAGCATTGTTTAATTAGTGAATTAAAAACTAATACAAATTGGTAATCAATTAATATTTGTTTATATATGTGGCAGGCGAGTTTGGAATAGCTTTTTCTTCATTTTTTTAATAGAATTTTTGTTGAGATCTGCCTTTAGAAAATTTTGTATTGATAATTATTCCTTCCATCTTTTTACAAGGTTTTCATATAAATTCAACTCTCTGTACATTTGTTAAACAATGGGGACATGNATTATTCCTTCCATCTTTTTACAACGTTTTCATATAAATTCAACTCTCTGTACATTTGTTAAACAACGGGGACATGGGGACATTGAATTTATCTGAGAAAAATAAATTATTTTATTTATACAACTTTTATAAATCAAATATAAAAATGTACTAAACCTCCTTGTAATACCATCTGATGATTAATTCAGAGGAGATTAATTATATTATGACTCATACCGGTAGAATTTAAATAAAACAAAAATTTTATTATTATTATTATTATACATAAAGCACAAGGTAATCATTTACCTATAATTTCTTTCATTCATTCGATTGAATTTAATAGTAAAATCTTTTTTCCTTTTAAATATATTTTATTTTATGAAACACGAGCAGGGAAGAAAAAAGAAATTCAAATAATTTTATTTCGCACATTCCAATCTCAACTGAAATTCTCATGTCAACTGTGACACATATATCCTGGTACGCTCGTTATTGCTAAGGAAAAATCAGTATCAGCTGCCTCTGATTTTTCTGAGGATTAGGAAGAAATTTTTAAAATGCGTGGAATTCTACGTATGAATTTCTATTAGGTGTTACAATTGTTTTTGTTTTGTTGTTTAGCATCTTCGTGTTATATGTCGTTCATGTACTGAAATATGTCATATATCAATAACTGATTGTCCATCGCTGACAGACAATTGTATGAAAGCTATAGGTACATTGAAACAATTACGTGTATTAAATCTGGCTGATTGCTTATTAATCACTGATAGTGGCATAAAAGCGCTAACAGACGGACCATGTACAGCACGTTTACGAGAACTTAACTTAACGAATTGTATGCGTCTAAGTGATAGTTCAATGACAAATCTATCTCGACGTTGTAAACGTTTAGCTTATGTAAAATTATGCCATTTAGATCAAATATCTGAAAATGGTTTAGAATTAATTGGCCAAATGGATCAATTAATATCGATTGATATTACTGGCACACAAACATCGGATACATCATTGAAATCTATAGGAAATTCAAATAATTTACGTTCCGTTACATTATCCTATTGTCGACAAATAACTGATTTAGGCTTAACAAAATTTGCAACATCATGTACAAGTATTGAATATTTAAATCTATCATTTTGTGCTCAATTAACTGACAATGCTATACGTTCGATGGCATTTTGTTGTAAATATTTAACAACATTAAATATATGTTCATGTTCATTATTAACCGATATGAGTTTACAATATTTAAGCGGTGTTTGTAAATATCTATATGAAATTGATATATCTTATTGTCATTTAATAACAGATAAAGGTCTGAAATATTTACGACGAAATTCTCATTATCTTAAACGAATTATTCTTGTCGAATGTCCAAATATATCACGTGCTGCCATAGATAAACTTGTACTTAAAATTCCCTTTGTTCAATATCATTACACAAGCAAATCCTCGGAACTTACAAAATGAACTATTCGAACAATAGGCGTGTTTTTTTTATTAATTATTAAGATATGATTCACATCAGTGTTCTTTTTTTTTCTTCTTCTGCTTCTTCTTCCAATACACGTGTGTATAAAAAATACTATTTAGAAATGTTATAGAATGTGCAAGGAATTTTCTACGTAGTTGCTCTTATTCACGGTGAAATGCATTCTAGAGATACGCATATGAGTATTTATTTACTATCACTAGTACATTTTCTAATAGGTTTGACATCACTAGATTGATTTTCCTATGTATATTGAATGTCCGTTACTCTGGTGGCTATCTTCTTTTTATCTAATCTACATAGATAAACACGCCCATTGAATGGTGTCTATAATGAAGTATCCAACTGCATTTTCCGCATACTTTCACGAGCTTTGCAGCCAATCACTGTATCCTACTGGGATAAGAATGTACCAGTAATCCTTCATCGATCGAATTTGTTTTCACTAATAATTTTTTTCTTTTCCAATTCAACATTTTTTGTTTTGACATTCGATATTATAATCGGCATAGAGAAAAAAGAAAATCTTCTATACCATTCAGGACATTGATATTCATTGCAAGTCAACTTGCTTTTCTTCTTGATAAAAGGTCATTACCATAAGAAACGACACATATAACTTGTTTACGTCGGCGAAGGTAATCTGCTCTTGTCCATGATCTATGAACATTAATTTAATCAAGACGAGACATTTATAGTCAAAATGTTCTTTTGATTTCTATAGAAAAACATAGACATATAAATAAACAAAGATTTTTCTTTCTTTGGAGAAAAACAAGAAAATACATCGATAGCATTTTATCATCAAAGATTCATAATTTGTTTTCTCCCTTCGATTTAGACAAATCAATCATGGGTATACTTACTGGCCGAGATGAAGCTATTAAATCATTAGCAAGTTCAGATCTTGCGTTTATTGGCACTTTAACCGATTATGTCAAAGGTTTGTATCAACTTAGTTCAATATATCAATTGATTGATGTATTTTATGTGCAGGTATGTCAACCAGATCATTAGTACCAACAGTTCACTATACACTAGAATTTGAAACATACGATCAGATACGTGGTCCACCGATTGAAAATGAAGAACCACATTTTCATTATATGCAATCGGGCAGTGGTGGTCAAACAATCGACCCTAAAACACGTCGATTTTTACCAGCAGTTGAATCTAAACATCTACAAATCGGTCAACTCTATTTGGCATTATTGAATGAGCCACAACAAATCAAACAATTAGTTGAAATTACTATGGATGACGTCGAATTATTACGACAAGGAGCTTCGGAAAAGTAACCATGTCATTCTATTTGTCTTTATCCTTTCAACAATATCTGTTAATACTTATACCTTTTATTATGTAGAAGTATTTTATAATTAGTTTTTACAATATTTTAAATAAAACAAAAAACATTTTCTATTCACAAGTAGTGCTAACAAAAAACCACATAACAATACAAGATATTTAATTAGAATTAATAGAAAAATAACAGACAATAGTATTGTCCATATTGGTTGAAAATCATAATCATCGGTATGAATTTGTCGATGTTCATTACTCAATGGTATCGAAACATATTCACAATGTGCTTTTTTGCATGAATCACTGTTATTACGAGCGCCAGTTGGGCATGCGGCGAAACGAGTAGATAAACCCGTATGATGATCTCGATGCAGACACAACTGAATTAGAATTACTTGCTGTTTGATTCAGAGATTCGACTAAACAATCAAGACCAACCTTCTCACCAGCATTACGTTGAATATACTAGAAATAAAAAATAAGAGTGTATTAAAAAAGAAAGTATCTTAAATGAATATTCACTAACGAATCAGAAATCACCTACTTCATATGTTAGACTTCCTGGTGGCGTTGCCATATCAACTAAATCAAGCATAAAAGTCAAATAATACGAAACATTATGTTGAAATATTAATGAACAACATGAACCTATGAAAATATGAATGATGATTTTCTAGAAATATCTTTTAAAATTCTCTACCATGCTTAGTCCATTCATGATTAATAAATAAATTTCTTGGACCTAAATATCCTGATGCTAATAGTTTTAAACGTTCTTGTTCTGGTAAAAGAATATCTGTAGGATTAATAAGACATTCTTGTTTGATAAACAATATTCATAATCAACTTGATTAAAAGTATCTTTCGTTGCATTTTGCCATGGACATAAATCTCCATTAATGTGACATTTCGACCAATCATGGTTTGCCGATGCACAGAATTGTGGCCAACCTTGATAATTACCACTTGTTGAAAATGTTGGCCAAAGACCATGTAACGCTAAGCGTTCTCTACCTGGTTCATTTATATCTGTATAAGGTGAACAAAAGTAAGTCAAAAATTTGACACTCATTATATTTTAACGGGTAATTTGATGGTGGTCAATAAAGATCACGAATATAATACGAAAATAAACTATCGTCAACTCCAGTTAAGCCACCATTGGGTTCTAGAGGCGAAGATGATTTTTCTAATCAGTACGAAAAAATTATTTATACCGGTTGTTACTGGACATCGTTTATTTGAATATCCACAAATACCAATAGTTTTATTGGTAAAATTACATATTGATTCAGTTTTATTATTTAAACACCACAAATTAGGTCCATCTAAACAATGATGATTTGACAAGTGTAAATGAGCTGAACAACATCCAATCGAACAAACTATAATAAAGTATTGATTCAATAGCCCCATGTGATTTTGATTATATTTAATATGAGATTACGACTTAATAGAAAATAAGGCACATAGATTGTTTTATGACCTTCAAATAGATTCCTAACATTGAAATCAATAAATAGTATTATAAGAACCACAACAAAATGGAAAACTATTTACCATTCACTCATGCGTATCTTAGTACGTGGTTGAAAGGACACACAAGCTTATACATAGCTATCATCTCATTGACAAGTTGAGTATCAATCAATGTATGAATCCGTATTTTATCTTCATTCCATTCATATACTTGATCGTTTTGTTTTCTGATGAGTAGCGACTTCATATTTTTCAAAATTTATGGATGTCATTAATCATGTTTGAAAGTCAATTTATGTGAGAAAGTACAGAGTTTTTCTAAATTAAATTACAATACTGATGAGGATCTTTTCTTCTACAAGCGATGTGTGTGAGGGTATGTGCGAGTATTGATATGTAGGCCTTGTTCATTCCTTCATAGTCTTATGCACACACGCACACCCTCACACCGTAGTGAAGAGACTACATGATAAATTATGGTGAAAATTGGTCGATCCATTACTATTAAGGCGTTGCACATATTGAATGCACCGAAGACCGAAATGAATGACAAAAGTTTGATTCTAATTCAATTCGTTTTCGGCCTCTGACATCTATACATAATTTTGATTCAATATCCCAAAGAATTCGTTGCATATTTAGTCGTGACTGAGGCAATTTACTGAATAGAATAATACATTGAAAACAATCTCAATAAATACCGCTAAAAATGCTGATCAATGATCTGATCACGAATTTCATACACACCTCTACGCCAGCAACAATCAACTATTCAAATAGGGCATATGCTTACAAAAGCTTTCTTTTAATTCACTACATAAACTCACATGTTCATGACTTCAGCCGTCAAACTTCTTATTAGAGCTCTCAAAGGAAAATTTTTATTCGAATGTTATTGCCGTTCCAAAGATATGAGTTAGTTTTTTCTCCGTGCATTGTATGTGATGAGTAGCATGCTCAAAAAAGTCCTTAAACTATCTTTTAATCGTATCGTACTAATTATATTACTGTTAATTCTAATTCCTATCGAATAGTGCGTACAATAGAGAGACATATACATGAGTCGCAAATGTCCATTAAAATGAATACTTTGTTGTTTACTAAACTACTTGTTACAGTGTGTTCTACTGTAACGTATATTATCTCGATTCTATCTATTCTCTTTTCTTTTCTTTTGTCTTTTCCTTTCTCTCTCAGTTTCCCTCTATTTTCTTGTCTCTGTTAATAGAGCACATACGTTTAAAGTATTCGTCGCTCTTCGTGAGCGAGAGCGCTAACACTACTAAATACATAAAACTCTAAAATAGTCTTCCATTTGTTTTATGGTTGTGAGGCTAAGCGTTAAAGCAAATGCAAAGGAAAAAGCTGTTTTCAATCATTTTGATTTATTCGAAAGAAAATATTGAAAAATTCACAAGTCTATTAGAGAGAAAATCTTTGAACACGATGATTACCTTCATCAGCGACATAGAGATTGCCATATCTATCGAAAGATAAACCACGAGGAGTGTTACACTGATTGGCTTCTTCACCTTTGCCTTTTCCACCCACAATCACAATACCTTGTTTGGCTCCTTGAGGCCAACACATCACACGATGATTGCATGAGTCTGCAACATAGAGAGTATTGAATTTGTCAACGAATAGCCCATTTGGATACGACAATTGTGTCAGAGCATTTCCTTCGCCTTCACCACCAGCTACGACAATACCTGTTGTTGCATCTTTAGTCCACTTCATTATACGATGATTTCTGTTGTCTGACACGTAGACATTCTGCTGTCGATCGACAAAGAGGTATCCCGGTCCGTTGAATTGATTGAGAGCAGCACCTTGACCCTTGCCACCAGCCACGAGAGTACCATTCTTGTCTCCCAATTGATATCGTCTTACTTCATGTTGTTCAGTGTTAGAGACATAGAGATATCTGTGATCATCCATGTCTAATCCATAACAACAGATGTTATCGATCAGGATTTCTCCTTGTGTTGTATTTTTATGACGAGACCATCGTACGACTCGTCGGTTCTCTCTATCACAAATAACGAGACTATCTGTCTTTTTGTCAATTAACACATCAGTTGGACGATTTAATTGATCCAATCGATTCCCTTCACCATTGCCACCAGCGATGATTTCTCCATTGATCTCACCCTTCTTCCATTGGGTGATACGACCGTGAAACGTGTCAGCAATGACCAGTACTTGATTGTCATCAACGAAGATACTGTAAGGTCTGTTGAGTTGATTTGTAGAGTTGCCTGGCCCATTACCTCCAGCAACCGTCACTCCTTCCAATCCGGATCGAGTGACCATGCAAATATTTGGCATAACTACAAGAAAAGAAAAATGAGCAAACAGGAGATCTTGATTATCTCATTCGCTCTCTTTTCCGATAGTATTAGAAAGTTACTAAGGGTTCGGATGTCGATGATTGTTTGTCTTCAATACTTCACACCCATATCCATTTCTTCCCTCATAGTCCCAAAGATGACTTCGTATAAATTGGGTGGGAAAAGCTAGAACCTTTTTCTGTTTCATATTCAAGTTTTAAATCTAGTTTTTCTAGAAAAAAAAGAGTCCCTAGTTTGATTACCGCATCAGTTTTTATTGAAATCTATACTGGAAAGATCTTCTAAAATAATCCATTTTTTCAAATTTATGAAGTGATTCATCTGAAAGAAAGTTATTTACATAAGAAGGATATCACTATCAGTATGGGTTATGTTCTTGATTTGGGTCTCGACACTCGTAGCTACACTCTTCAATGAGATTTAGTAAAGGTGAACAAACAAATATATTTACTTACCATTCCATTGTATGCTGCTTTTCATTCTGTCGATATCTCCTGCAAGTTTTGCGATTTCACCACGAGCAGATGATATTTCATTTTTTTGGTTTTGATTTTCTGATTGAGCATTTTCAAGTTGTTCAATTAGCCCTTCGTATTGAATCTTTTGCTTTTGTATTCTATCGTCTAGCTCAATCTTTTGTTGTGTCATTGCCTTTTCAAGTTGAGTTTTTTGTTGCTCAATTAGCATTTCATATTGAATCTTTTGCTCTTGTATTTTGTCTTCTAGCTCAATCTTTTGTTGGTGCATTTTCTCTTCTAGTTTAGTATTTTGCTCTTGCACTTTGACTTTTTCTTGTTCTGCTTGCCTTCGATGCTCTTCTATATGCAAACCTTGTTTTTTTATCATGTCATATAGTTCATCAGTCGTTGGTCTTAATTTTTCGAATAAACATGCTTTTATGTGTTCGTTATATTGATTTCTCGGCTCGAACCATATACAACCAAGGGCCTTCCCTGGACAATCTATTCGATATTCAGAACAATTTTCCTTGATATGCTCATCAAAATTTCGTCTGTATAGATTTATTTCACCACAAAGCTCACATTGTACGTTTATGTCATCGAGCATTGATAAAATAATACGTGATGGGCGGTTCAGTGTTGAATTATCATTACTCAATAATTGACTACATGACTGGGCTGGACAACATGAACCATTTTCCATGTATTTTGTAATACATGCACGACAATAAATATGATCACATTCAGTCACAATCGGATCAATAAAAGGGTTATTACATAGTTCGCATATAAGATGTGGATCAATGCTCTTTCTATCGGTATATTTGTAGAAGTTGTTTGATATCATCTGAAAAGAGTAAAAGGATCGAATTCTTCCGGAAACTAGATTTTCTGAAGTAGCGATTTCAAAAAAAAATAGAATCAAGCTCTTATTTCATAAATGGTAACAGTTCAGAACTAGAACTATTCATGAGGTCTCATTCGAGTTTCCAGAACCTTCTTTTTGTGTACTCAAAAAAAAAAGAGTACACTATAGAATCGGTCAGTGTGTACGGCCGTCCGGCCGTCCGTTTATTCGATAACTCTTCACAATTACATTCGATTGAGCTGAAATTTTGTGCACAGAATTGTCTTATCAATATCTAGGTCGAGTTCGAAGATGAGAAGGATCCGTCAAGAAATGGCTGAGTTGTCGAAAAAATTGTCATTTTTGATCAGACCATCCCTGAGGGGGAGTACAGGGATTTTTCAAAAAAAAAATTTTCTCAGAATTATTCACAACATATATAAATCGACTCAGTTTTTAACGCTGATTCTAAATCTGATATTAGTTTTGAACTAAGTCATAGCTTTCTAACGAAACATCGCCTGAAAAACGTCTCAAAATTCACAAAAACTCCATCCAGAAATCAAATTGTCTAGTTTCTCATGATAATTTTCGTGTTCAGGCATTCTAGAATGACTCATATGTCGCATGCACTTTTTGCAGTACACATAACTCTCGGATGAAATCCGAAGTTTCCACATTTATTTTTTTACAGAATAAGAGTAATAGTAGGTACTGAAAGTAGTTGTGACAGAACTTGTGTCAATTTTCTATTGGTAGCGTGAGGGTGTGTTATACCTTCAAATTTCTAACTACAGGAATTAGAAGAAGGCTCCAAAAATTTAAAACGAAGTTTTTGAAAATTTAAATAAGGTATCATGCACGTTTCGATAAGTTACTCACCACAGTCAAATGATTTCAGCCAAAAATAGTCGTAAAATTTCTCATGAGATCCATTTTTGTTGGCTTTGGCGAGTTTTACCTATTGGAGATCGTTTGTTCTTTTGTCGAATAATTCGTATGCTACGTTTTGTAGATATCCACATTTTACTGTTCTTATCTTAGTTGTTTCTATTTTATGTTTGGTTATGTTTCAACTGATTAAGTAATGTGTAAATGACAACTGCAGTTATCTGACGCAAACTATTGTAGATGACAGAACACTAACAGGGAACTGAAAAATGGGAAAACTACTGTTCACAAAATTGTTCTCATGGAGTATATGAATTCTCATTTTTTCTTACGGGACACATACATAGATCTTTTATCATTCAAACGGGGTAGCAAGTTCTTTGTATTTCTTATTTCTAATATTATATTTCCTAATTTATTGTGAACATGATGATACCCGACTGAAATATATATATTTGTCGTTTATGAAATATTCGAACAAGAAATGGTACTTAGTTTTTCTATCAATATATTTTCATGATTGAAGCTCATGCTATATTAAATTTGATGTAAAGCACATTTTCTTCCATCATATCAAATACCCAAATTTCCAAACTCAAATGAAATGTATCGATCAATTTTCGCCTCATCTGCATGAAAAATTGTTTTCGCTCTTATGTGTTAGCGTATGGCATGTGCAAACTAGATACAGTTCGAACGTATAAACTTACTAATGAACATCATTACCGAAGGTGGAAGTAAGTTACTCATGTACTTTGTCGGTACAATTGACGTAAAAAAATGCCAACATCATTATGATCTTTATGCAAATTGTTTATCATATGTTTATAATCTTCGAGAAAATGATCAGAATCTCAATCAAGTTGAATCAAATCGAAGCATGAATAATCTGTGCCGAAAATTTATAAATGAGAAGAACTATTTAATGATTTGATGAAATAAAACGTTGACAAAGGCAAATACATTATGCCAAAATAGTGCACTCCAAAGAATTGGATGACAACATGCGAATGAATCCGACTATCAGAATGATTGTCCTCAGACAACGACTAATTATTCGTGCGACGAATCAATGAGCAACTAAGCATATCTAAAGAAAATGTATTTGTGAATAAATATACTATTTGAAGCTTTTGTAAGAAAAACTATGCGATGCCTAGTATATAAATGCAACCGTACAAGTTATAAGTATTTAGTGACTAAAGATTCCTTTCTTATTTATAAATTTCTCTTTCTTAGATTTTTATCAGCACATTCAATTTTTCATGTTGGCTTTTGGTCAATCGATTTCTGAGATGCTGATAACAAAGAAGACCTTGTGGATATATTATCAGATTTGAAAATTCTTTTTAATTTATATCAATATCCAACATCTTCTAGTGATATAGAGTAAAAATATGTAAAAGAGTTTTGTTTCATTGAGAATTCATTTTTCGTTTCAGGCTTTACTTTCATTTGCTTTGGTAGGAGAAACATCTCTTGATGGGGTAAAAGCAACTCAAACAGAAATCTTTTCTAAAATAACGCAGGCGTAAGAAGAGAGAAAAAAATCAAAGGACGCATAGAGTGCGGGTCTATAACAATGAATGCACAAATAATATACTTAAGTGTAAATTATTTTAAAAAAATCCATACTTAGAGATGATATTTTTAATGTTCGAAAATCGTATACTCACAGTCAATTAAATGAATCTCATGCCAACACAAATTTCAATTTATTAAATGCTAATTCAAATTATATTGACTGGATTTATATTAATAAATTACGTTCATTAGTACGTTCAATTACGTGTTGGACTAGTTGGTGGTGAAGGCACTACCTATACGCGCACCAAGCGTTATATAATTTTCTTTACTCTCGTTTTCACCTTTCGTGCTCATTCTCAATCAATCTATACTGGTACGGCAGATTTTCGAAAGAGACACTGTTGTTCATCTTGTAAGTCTTCTTCTGTGACTTTTACGTTTTCCGGCTCCTTTTGCATTTCAGAGAACCCAAAGCGATAGCGATTCTATTGAAACGCGCATGTTTTCAAAAATTAAGAAGGATAAATAATTCGACAAGCAACTTATTGTGCACGTGATTAGCTCAACAAGCTCTATCTAACCATGTAAAAAATAGAGAAAAAACTTTTTTGCTCATGTTTTGTCCTTGGTGCACCTGACTACTACATGAGAAGTATATCGGCTGTTGTCTGAAGGATAAAAAGACGATTTGTTTCGTGTGAAATAATTAGCAGTTGTACTTCTCACCGGTGGCATCTATTTTTATTTATTTCGACTCAATATATCGTAGTCGAACTTTGTTTTTCAAACTCATGAATCCCTCGAATATCTTGAGGCAACAGTTAAGGTTTTCGTGAAATCTCCAGTGATTGAACCTCTTGTTTCGTTGCTTGATATTCTGAGTCACTCACTTCGGTTCTTGTTTAAGAATGTTCTATTCGTTTGGATTTTCAAGAATTGTTTCAAAATCCTGAATACCATGCCTGGTTCTATTATAACGACTATCCTGAACTATCGACCATGAAACAAATTACGAGAAACAATTCATTTACTGTATTAGATAATGCATAGGGGTTGTTCGTTCGGAAAAGAAGAAAAAAAACTGTAAAGATATGTAGTGATCGAACAACTAGAGGTTGCGATCAGGGTTACCAAATTCAAATTTTAGAAAACAGGAGTTTTTTAGAAGAATTTTGTTCGTAAATCAGGAGAAAAATCAGGAGTGTTTTTTTGACACTCAACACTCATTGGGTGGTCTTTATCTGACAACATCCGATTTTTCACTAATAGACGCATTAAACTCTTTTCCTATAATGAGATTGCGGCTGAAAATTTCCTTGTAGGTGAATTATAATTGAAAATAGAATGCGGACTTCATAAATTTTATTTAAATAGATAACTAAAACGTGCTCATTAGAATAAATAGTAAAAAATACTTAACCAATTTACTCAGCAATTCGTAGCAGTTTGGTGACGTGACTCTACTTATCTACCGATTGAATATTTCTTCGAAAGATCTGGTTCATTTAAAAGATAATGATAGAATTGCATGAAAGTGAAATGGGCAGTGTTGCCAGATTCCCACATTTTGCGGAAAAATTCGGGATTTCTAAAGTTTTTCCCAATTTGCAAAGCTTTTCTCGATTTTTTCTAGATTTTGAAAAACAACTCTGAATTTTTTTTTGATTTTCGAGGTTCACATCGGGCAACATTGTTGTATGAGCACTTTTTTATTTAAATATATGTTTGTAGATATGTATAAAGAGTGTCTTTGTTCGGAATCCGCTAGAGCGAAACGTACTTTAAATGACAAAAACTGACCGGAAAAAATTTTTCCAGATTTTTTCCGCATTTAAAAATCCCACAATTTTTTCGGATTTTCAAGTTCGACATCTGACAACACTGCAAATGAGTATTTATTTTAATCTTTAACTCAGCTCCAACTAAATCATGGTTCATTTGATTTCGATTGTCATTCCATATATAAGTTTAACACTTAAATAGATTTGTTCCTTTCTCTTTAAAAGCGCAATAGGTTCAAAACGTTGCTAATCGTCACATTAAAAATATCAGGAGAAAACAGGAGAAAATATAAAAAAATAGCTCCTGAAATCAGGAGATTTCTCGTCAGGAGAAAAGTTTCAAAGCCAGGAGATCCCTGGTCAAAACAAGAGCTTTGGTAACGCTGGTTGCGATTGAAAGTTTCTAGTAGCTTCAGAAAATTTTCGTACAACTTAGCGGATAAGCATCTAAAGAGACATAGGAAGAGGTAAGAAGAATCGAAATGGTAGTGAAGACGTGGCTGTAAACGAAAAACTATGGAAAACACTACGAATTGCACGGAATAAGAACAAAAGTTCGTCTCAATAGCTTGCTAGCAACAGAAATACGTCAATGTATCTCGTCAAATGTTACAATGACAAGAACGAAACTTGAAACACGCGAAATTAAATATAAGTATGTCTACCGAAATTAATCTAAAATTATGAAACCGTATGCTTTGTGGAAAATTCGATATACGCTCCTGTTCTTTATCAACGGAAATTGTACGTGTCGTTAAACCTATTGGTTATCTTGGCCATTTTCGTTTTTTTATTATTGTA